AAATTCCAGCCCAGAATACAAAAACTGTTTACAAATTGCAGTATTTCAACACCTATTAATACTTTGAAATCATTTGAAAATATCATGACAAAGGAAAAGAGAACATAGTCTTAAAGATAGACACATTAAATAGATAGATAGAAAGGAACAGAAAGAAACAAGCACAGTAAAGAGAGACTATAACAAAATAAAATTATTAAAAGAAAGTGTATAGCTGTTTTAACAGACTATATCTAGTCAATTTCCACCTCTTCATATTCAGATACTTCTGAATTCAGTCATTTTCTTGTAGCTTCTCTAGTTTCTGATAGAAAGTCTATTAAGTATTTAGTTCCTGTCTCAGTTGAGAATAAGAACCTCATATTTAATTGATTTAAATCATACTTTTTCTTTAATCTGACTCTGAGACTATTGTATAATGCACAGTGTATTACAATATACTCAGAATTCTCATTTATATTGCAGAATGAGCATTCTATTGAGTCAAATCTATTATTAAATCTTTGTATATAAGATTTGAAATAGTCATATTTTAGTTTCAGCTGTATTGTAGATGAGAATATTTTCTTTTTACATTTAATTGAATAAGATTTCTACTTGAGTTTTATTTCAAATCTTGAATAATGTATACTCTTCTTTTATTTCTGCCAGCTTTCATTTCACTTATCTAAACAAGATTCTTTTATTTTTCTCTTTATAAAAGATCAGAATATAATTTTTTGAATAGATCTGCTTAATTCTACACTCTTTTTTACAGCTGAATCAGTCAATTCATTATCATGAATATTTATATAAGCAGGAATTTAGTGCAGATGAATTATCAGCTTTAATATTCTTCTTTTTTAAATTTTTAAAACAGAGTTTAAGATCAGTTCAAGATTCATTTAATCATTATAAATCTAACTATTTCTAAGTCTTTTTAAAGTAGCTTGACTATCAGAGAATATTTATATCTCTTTCAAATAATTTCCTCTTTTATGAGATTTTATTTCAATGAGTTTGAAAGCTTTCACTATTACAAATAGTTCAGTATCAAAGACTTCAGATTTACAGTCTAGATTTCAGAAATCTGAGATAAAATTAATATTATCTTCAGTATAAGTAATGTCTGTGTCTAATCTATTCAAATTCTCATTTTTTAAGTCATCTGAATAAATCAGAATAGAGTCTTTTATATTGATTGTAGAGATTCTCTTTAAATACTGTTCATATTCTTTCTCTTTTGATAGTTCACTTATTTATAAGTCTATATGAGACTACAGACGCTAGCCACCCGCAGAATGTATCTTAAGTTAATTACATTTAACTCTCTATAATTAACTGATTACCGTGTCCGTCCTCTCAGACCAGTCACTAATTTCCAGAAGTATTAGTTTATGACTGTCACTGCTTACTTGATAGTGTACACATCAAGCTTCTGATTGCTGATCTCAGTCTCATTAGATACTCATAGATCTATTAATCAGCTATTGTAGTCTCACTCTGTATTAGAAACTAATCATAGACTTGATAACTGCAGTTCTCTCTATCAGTATTAAAGCTTGACAGTGAGCTTGCAGACTCTAGCCTATCAGAGTGCTCTGTCTAGAGCCTAGATATATATCTAGACCTGCTAGTTAAGTAATTTTCAAAATCATTCTCTGTATTTGAGAGTAGACTGGCCGCCGGGACCATGAATTTCACATTTGGTCCCATTTGGTCTGATCTCATACATTTCTTGGCGTGAGTCCCACCAGGACCAAGCCTCAAAAAAATCTGAAAATGGACCATTTCTGAGAGAAATGGTGTGAAAAATGACCAGATTTAATTCAAGAACAGTGAAATGAGAGTAATTTTCCAGGATAAACTGTGAAAGATGATCATTCTTTCAAAATCAGAATGAGACTGAAACTGAAGGTTAAAATCAGTCTCATTTGATTCATTCAGTGATTACTTATATAATCAGAATTTGGTAACAATTATTGATAACACTCATGAAACAACTAAATACATTCTTGTGCAAGTTTATTCTTCACTTTCTCATGAAAACTACACTTCTCTGATATACTATGATCAGAGGTATTAAACTGTCTGATAATTTCATGTTTTACAATCATGAGTTTCTTGATTGTTTCTTCTTGTAATTGTCTCTGATGATAGTGATAAATATCTCAACTTGAGTTGAACTTTCACTTCATTCTCACCTCTGTCAATGAAATTGTCAGAATATCACACATCATCAGTGTAACAGTTGAATATGTACTCTTAACAATTTTTCATAACTCTAGAATTGATTTGATGTGTAAATTCATCAGATTATCTTGAAGATAGTGATCAAATTCAGTTTTACAAGCATGTAGTTTTGCCTGATTTTCAGTTGCAATCAATGTATGCAAGTTCTGTTTCAAAGTTAGTATTATAGTTCTATGTGATATAAAGTGTTATCAAAGATCATTACTTACTAGAGAATTGTATTTCACTGTCTTTATATCTTGAACATCTGCTTGTTCAAATCTCTGATAGTTGGCATTGTAGTAGTCTCAGGCTAATTTGACATATGAGTCTCATTTCTTCTCTGTTCAATCTTGAGAAGTGTAGATATTAACTTGACAGAAGGGATCTAGTAGAGCTGCTACAGCATAGTACTCTGCAAAAGATTGTTTCATTTTACTGTAGTAATATGTCAGTTTATCTCTTACAGCAACAATAGCCTGCACTATAGCATCATCTCAGACTGAATTTCTTTTTGAGTGATTCAACTGCTTCTCAAGATAAGTAAATAAACTGTTATACACTCACCAGGCTGACTGCAGCATTGATGTATGAGTGATTGAGACTGCATTTGTTGTCTTATAAAACTGAAACAGTAAATCAATCACATATTTCAACTGAGTTCACTTCATATCAGAAAGTTTTAATATCTGAATCTTTTTCTGATCAGAGTGTTGCACTCAATGATCAATTATCTGATGCAATTGAAGAGTCTGAACAGTCATCTCATATGTTGAACTTCACTATATTCTAACATTCTGTATCATATTCAGTGATGTGACTGATTTATTTATTTATTGAATATCATGAAATCATTGTTATTGTTTAGAAGAGATACAAATCACATTAGCAATGTTTTGAATCTATGATATTTAAATTATTAGTCAATCTATTCAAAATTAACAGTAGTGTTATCAAAAAGTGTTATTAAAAAGCAATATCAAAAAGTGTTATCAAAAAACATTATCTTTTACAAAGTGAATGCAAAAGTTACTTGAGTAATCACTTTCATCTCATTCTCATTCCAAGAATCAGTCATCTCATTATTCTTCATCTTGATGTTAAGATTCTTTATCAGTGTTTATATCACAAGTTGAACCACATGAGCAATGCAGAAGATATGACCTTATTTATCATTTCAGAAATGCAAAGTCAATTTTTGCTTCAAGCTCTTCATCATAGTGTAGTTATTCGCAGCATTATCAGTTATAATTGTAAGAAGACTGAGACTAATATCTTAATAGTCATTTTTAATCACAGTCATTAATACCTCTGTCATATAATTCCCAGTATGACTACTGATCAATGATTCAAATTCAATTAATGTCTCTTAATAAGTTCAGTTCTCATCAATGTAATAACATATAACTCTCATAAATGCAAGATTGTTTGTACTAGTTCATGCATTCACTGTGAGAGACACTCTTTGATGATTCTTCAACTCTGATTCTAGATGTTGTATATTAACTTTGTAGTGTGTCTTGAGATTGGACTGAAGACAGAATTGATGTGAAATATGAAGATTTGAATTAAGTATTTGAAGAAGTGTTCAGAATTCGGGGTTTTCAATTGATTGAAGAGAAAGATTCAGAGATATATATATGTGAAGTAATTATTCACAGAAGTTATCAGATGAGAGTTGTGAAATCAGAGTACTGATATGAGGTTGTTTTCACATGATTTTCTTCAAATTAGAAAGTTAGTGTTATCAAAAATTGTTATCTGATAGAGCAACTTACCAGCTCAGTAGTAATTTTCTGATTATTTTTCTTTTATTGTCTGCATTCTGATGACTTCAGATGTCAGAAAATTTCTTCAGAGTCATGATCAGTTCATGATGAATGTTTCTGAATGAAGTTGCAGTGATTGTAGCAGAGAGATGACTCTTCAGTAATCTGTAATACAATCTGTTGATAATTATTCTATAGTTCATCTCAATGTTTGTGTTGAGTTTTTCATAAATTTTGTGACCTGGAATCAGATGTGAAGAATGAAGTGATTATTTATCATGATTGAAAGAGAGCATTCTGTGTTGAATTATAAACAACATAGACTTTGTGATTCACAGTGATTTCTTGAAGAGTTTATAAATCTTCAATAGAAGTAAAAGAAGTGAAAGAAGTGAATTCAGAAGACATGATAATAATTTGAGAAAGATAATAATTTATTTTCAATAACTGATCACTGATATGTGTAAGAAGAATTAATATAAGAGAAAATAATCTTGTTTCTTAGCTTAGTTATAATTTTAGTACTAACTCAGATTGAATATCATTGATGTATAAAAGTAAATAAACAATCTTGATTAATCTCTGTTATATTTCTTGAAATATATTAATATTGTGAAAGAGAGTGTTACTAAATTACATTATCAGATGATATCATTAAAAATATATTAATATTATGAATATCAATGTTGAAAAAATGTTGATACTTATACATTATAGTGATTTGTGAATCATGATAGTTAAATATATATATATATATATATATTGTTTCTGACTTGATTACAACTTGTACAATAATTTTTAAAAACTCAAAATTAATTTCAATTATTAATAATTATGAACTTACAACTAACTAATATAAAAAGAAAAAAACTTTTTCTACTTATCATCTTTCTTCTCTTTCTCATTCTTCTTATCATTCTTTATAATTCACTTCTCATTCTTCTTCTTCTTCTTCTTCTTCTCATCTGAGATGATAATCATCTCAAAATCTCTCTTCACTGTCTTCTCAGAGAAGGGTTTTCACTGCTTCTCCTCAGCCAGGTCAACCTGCATCTCAAAATCCCACATTTTCTGATCTGCTGTCTCAGGTTCCACCTCAGCAGTAAGCAGATTGACATGCTCAGAGAGCAGAACTGTCTTCTCAATGTTCTGAATTATGAAGTGTATTTAAGACCTGAATAAGACCTCAATCCTCTTCTTCTCTATCAGCTCCTGCTAATCAATTAGAGAACAGAAGCATTATTAAAAATTGTTATCTCTCAATAAATAAAAAACTTATCAGTTTTGACTTCTTTATCTTCTGCTTTAATACTCTCTCAATCTTCTTCTACTGCTGCTTATTTACAGTAACACTCTTCTTCTCTCTCTCTCTCTTTATCTTAGTCTTAAATCATTCTTGAGACTTCTTCTGATTCTACTACTGCTGCATGAGACTCTTCACTGTCTTCTTCTTCAATCTCTCACAGGTAGCATCATCTGCATTATTCCTATACTTAGTTCAGTCTAAATCTATCAGAAGTGTTACTTAAAATTGTTATCATTCTGCTCTCTTACAGAGCCTCTTCAAGGCATTATAATATGTCTTACAATCTGTCTTCTCTCACTTGAATACCTTCTTCTTCTCTCTCTTCAATCTGTGACAGCACTCACGCGCCTTGATGATCCGCAGAACCGCAGAATATTTGAAGAGAGATGACATGATTGGTTTCAGTGAGTGTTGAAGAGAGATGAAGGCAGAAGAGATGATCAGAAATGATATGATAATGATAATGATAATAATAATAATGATGATGATAATGATAATGATAATAATAGTAGTGATAGTAATGATAATGATGATGATAATGATGATGATGATAATGATGATAATGATAATAATGAAAGAAGAAGTGCATTGAAATATATTACTGACTTATCAAATATAAAGAGACTTAAAGAAAATATTAACAGCTTTCAGTGATGTACAGAAACAGCTACAGTGTTGCATAGCAACATCATCTTCATTCAATGCATGCACTGTTGATATTCTTTGTATACAGTTATCATATAATCTGTATCAGAGATACATGCAGAAAACAGATCTTTATTACTAGAACAAATGATTACAGCAATTCTCTGTTTTCATATTATAAAGATAAGTTATTCTCATTTCTTTCTTCTCTCTTTTCTCTTATTCAATCAATCACTAATTTCAAGCTGATATGAAAACTATTAAAACACTCTCAGAAATCCTCAAATTGAAGAGTATAGACTAATCAAATTTCAAATACAGAAGAAATCAAATTATCTCCTATCTTCTACAGATTTAATTACTCATTCTCTCTCAAATAAAACAGCAGTTGCATTCCCTTCTCTCCCTCTCAATTAAACAAAACATGGCCCGTGAAAAGTGAGTACCACACCAGGCCATAATGACCAACATGGCCTCAGCATGCAGGGCTGCATATGCGCAGTGTATGCTGGACTGAGAGACTGTGTGAGTTGCAAACCAGTGACAGCATCTCAGAGAGAGCTGTGTGATGTGAGAAAGCTGCAACTCTCAGTCATATGCACAGAGGGTGAATCACTGCAGTAAGTGCATGTGCATTGAAGTAATGCTTTTTAATAATGCTCAGTCTCTGATATGATGAAAATAGAGTCTCTCTGTAAGATCTGTTTCTATCAGAAGTCTGAGAATCTTATATTTCTCAAGATCATCTTCACACACCTTATCTGTGAAATCAATGAGAAAAATCATTGATTTCAGTGTTCTGTTCTTGATATCATTCAAGTGACAGCAGAGTTCACTCTGATCACACTTTTTAAGTGTATATTTTCTAATTATTCACATTTATATAGATATATACTGATTATTTATTAGATGATGTTAAGACAATGACTCATTACAGCTGTGTTACTCTCACTGTGAGAAATACATGATTAGTGATGAATATTGTGAAGACTCTGAAGAGTGAGTATTTTAGAGATGCTGCAGCCCTGTGATCTTGATTTTTTTTTGTTTTTATTTTTTGTTTTTTTCTTTTTCTTTTCTTTTTTTTTTTAATTTTCTTTCTCTTTCTGTCTCTTTTTTTCTTTCTCTTCTTTTTTTCTTTCTCTTTTTTTGTTTTTTTTTTTTTTTTTATTTTGATTTTTTCTTATTGTTTTGTTTTTTGTTTTTTTGTTATTTTTTATATTATACATTTTTTTTTTTAATTAAAATGATATTGATTATGATCTGTGTTCAGAAAAGTAATGATATTTGATAATACTCTCTATTGAATTTTTAACAAATGAGCACTATGTTATGATATTATGTAAGTGAGAAATGATTTCATGGTCTCATTTAATGTCATTTTCAATAATGAAATCAGAATGAAAATGTGACTAAGAATTCAAATATATTCTTTATCTAGAACTAGATTTTTATTTGAAAAGTGAATCTGAGATCTTTAATATTTGAAATAACGGGATTTGAGATCAATGTAATGAACACAAACCATGACCAGGAGTAATGCTTTTAGGCAACGTGACAACTGTAAAGTTTGATCCTGGTCCCAGACACGGTCACACAGTCAGTCTATTTGAGAGAGAGCTAGGCTTCAATGACAGCTCTAGTTAGAGACTCACTTAAGTAGTGTATAATCACTACATTAGACTTAGCTCTATATTGTTAGAACCTTGACAGGTGCACAGTAGAATAGTAAGACATTGATATCTTATACTGACTCTGATAAGTGTTCACAGAATCTCACTTAACTAGTGACTTAGCTTGCAGTAAAAAGTTCTACCCTGCATTAAGTCTTACTAATTAGACTCAGTCTCTATTACATGAGAGCTTTCATGAGTAAGAAGTGACAGATGCTAGCAGTGGGATTCAAACTCACGCATCTCTAATGTATGTGATCTTGATTATCAGTCTTATCAACTGAGTCACGCTGGCTAAGCCTGTTCTTTCTTATATACAATTATTATATAATGATGTTGAATGTTCTAGAAACTACACAGTTTACAAGAAACTTTCATAGCTTAATTCAGATCATAGATAATATAGTAACAAAGCTCTGAGATATTTATAACTGAACAGAAGTCTTCATAATAAGTATAAAACAAGATTAAGAGAATTAAGCTAATGTTTAACAAGACCTCACTGAGTAATATAAGATAAATGACCTTGTATAATTAAATCTTAAAAATATTCAAATTATATACCTGTCTCATACACTGAACTATTACTATACTAAATACAATGTAATAGAAGTTCTAAGCAGTTATAACTACTATCTTAACACTCTGTCAGAGATTTATAATATCTTTTATACAAGCTTACTCTGCTATACTATCACTGATTCATTCTCTTCTCAACTGACTTCTAACTGATAACTGTCACAGATTATAGAAGAAGATAACAAACTTGAATAGAAGATTAAAAATATTCTTAATAAAGAACTCTGCAGCTGTAGCTGATAATATCTTGTAAAATAAGTTAATTATAACTGTTCTATCTGAATCTCAGACTCTGTACTATTTAGACTGATCATATGACTGTGTCTAAGATCAGGTTCAGAATATTTAATAGTTTTATTATCAATTTAACTAATCTCATTACACAGTTTTAAGATTAAATAGTAGTCTCATACTGTCTCAGTGAGACTTACTGTCTACTCTTATCACATTTTTCAAATAAGATCATGATTTTCACTTCTCAATTTAAATTATTTTAATTACTTTAAATATCTTTAAATCTTATTTAAGTGTTATTAAAAAGTGTTACTTTTTAAGAAATTAAAAATAGTTCAAAAAAAATCTTAAAATGTTTAAAAATAGCAACTTTATACTGAGAATAAGACTAAATGAGACTAAATGAGACTACTTTCTTATTTTTTCTAAGTCATGATTTCATTTTAAGATCTGATATATAGTCACTTTACATGTTTTTTTAATGATTAGTCTCAGTGAAATTCATGCTAAGAAATGTATAAGATCAGATTAAATAAAATTAAACATGAAATTCATAATCTCAGCAGTCAGTCTAGTGCTATTCAAAACAGCAGCTCTTGACTGATGAGAACTACATACTTACAGTTCTATCACTCAAATTTCACTTCTAGAAAGAAGAGACTAATGTAGTAGACTATGTCTGATTAATAAATTATTTCACTACACTTCATGAATTTCTGCTGAAAGTCTTAATTATCAGCTGACACTTTATAAATTTCTGTCAAAAGCACTGATTCTTGACTGAAAACTCATGTCAGAGCTTATATTCTTCTGCTCTGAAGCTTTATCTTGTACATGTATAAATATTCACTTCTATTAAAATACTCTTATATCTTCTCTCTTTTTCTTGTCTAACATTTTCTATTTTTGTTATATAAGTTCTATATCTAATACTGATCTTTTCAGCGTGGGCTCATTACAAAGATGTATATATCAGCTGTTAGTAGTTATTACAATAGTATAAGAAATTATTACTTCTATTATTTAAGTAAGTCTATACAATAAATTCAAGCATAAATTAGTAATAAGCTGATATAAAATTAGACAACTGAATCACTAATTTCAAGAAAAAGACGAAGAAAAAAGCTTATTACAGTTAAAAAATAAAATCTCTCTCTTTGTAAATAATTTACTGCTGTTATTGTAACTTTAGTCTCAGTATACTCTGTCAAATATTAGATCAGAGATGATAGTATTAAATTATTGAAAATTAAAAATATTGAGATTGAATGTCTGCATTGCAAGAACATCTCTCTTTAGAGAAAATTGAATCATAATTAATATTTCTTGAAAATAGCTGTTAAATTTCTTAAAAATGATTACATAGCTTGTAAGTCATGCAGGTGTTGTTTTTTAAAAATTAGTTATTACAAAGCAATCAAATTCACAATTTACAGAGAAAAATGATAATGATGATGAAAATATTCAATTCTACTATAATGCAGTCTGTCTGTAGAATCACTGTTTTCTAATGTGAACTAGGCTCTAGCTCTGCAATAATTAGCACACCAAGGCTTGTGTGCTACAAAAACATTTTAAAGTTGAGGGATTGCCAGTCGCATGCTCTACAATCGACAGGACAATGGGTAGGCGCTCCTATATCCACATGGCCAAGTCAAGCCACTGCTCAGCATGCGGCGGCATCCGCACCCTAGCCACTAAGGTTACCAATCGGCTCAAAGTCCGTGTCCGTCCACGCAGCTATTTGAGATCAATAATAATGACTACGGAGTACATGCAGTTCTTCAAGTCTGTGCGGAGGCACCTATGACGCCACTTTCACCCCATAAAATCAACTCAGCGTTACGGATGTGGCTCATACACTTTGCGGTTTCATGAGTCAGTGTCCACGGTCAGGTTGCTAGACAATTCTCGAATCCCGCGCCGCTTTGCGGGCACGCTTGCGTATTTATTCAATTTCAGTGTTTCCACTAACTTGGACGCCCTGCAATTAGCGGACATGGAGTCTGAGATCACAAAGTTGTTGTTCCCGATCAAGCAAGGATTGAACGCTTTGTAAACTCATTCGTCAACCTCGGAGTCGTCCTCGGAGCAAACATATGCGCGCTAGGCCCCATCCTGACCCTTTTCATCCAGGCAGCTTTTTCATTGTTATATACAGTACCGTCCACCTGCACGTTTCAGGTTGCATCGTTAGCTTCGTAGGAGTTTCTCTACAAATCCCAACGATCCTTGACCACTCACAATCTAGTGTGGCCCTATTGCTCTTGCTAATACTAGGATAGGAAACTTGGGGGGACTCAATGAGGTCAATACGTAACGTGGGCGTGAAATACATCAACCTCAAATGTCAGACCCGACTCCATTACATCTTCAAACTTGAAATTTAGGTCAGATAAAACTTGGTCAGACACCCAGCTGCTCTAAATAATCTATTGCAAGGATACGGAAAGGAAACAGTAGCTAGGTTACCAGTCAACCCAGATGAAACTCTAACCTGCTCCACAAAATGGAATTGAACAATTCTGACAGATGATCAAGCAATTTGATCCACAGCCGCTTTGTCCAGCAGAGCCTCGAGTCATTCGGTTGTGATCTCCTCGACACCACAGTAGGCTCTTGCAGGACAACAATACACTCCCCAAAAAGGATCTACACGAAATCTGGGTTCAGCTGCTGCATGCGGCATGCAGTCGTCCTGAAAATGTTCAAGGTGGGACGTGCCGTTACTTTCCCAGTCCTTAAGACGGGTATAATGGCCGGGTCAGTCGTTCGTTGACGTTTCCCTGGACGAAAGTTGCGTTATCGCTTTCCACGGCAAGGCCTTGATTACCCACTCCGATCAAAAGATTGCATGATTAAGTTTGGTATATATAACGTAGCGCTCCCGCACACGCTTGATAAGGGGGTGTAACATCTGCAGATATGGTGACATGTACAGGCGCCTAATCGATGCCATTCAAGCAACCGAGCCGACGACTGCAGCGTGCGTTCCGTAAGACGGTCACACAGAACACCTACATTTGTGAACGGTGCTGGATAATGATGGCCCAGTGGACGAAATACCTCCGAGGCAAGCTTTTTTGATATCAGGTGACCATTTGAGTCTTATTTTTCACAGGTCGTGAAAATAGGCTCCCCAGGTCTTTATGCCGTTGTCAGCCATATATCCAAGGCCGGAACAATCGCCTGTCGCGGACAAAGAGCCATGGCCATACAAGTTGTGTCCCTCGGTCAAGTCTTATTGCACATGAAATAGCCAAGCGTTCAAATAGGTCGGCCCGTTTATGCTGGACCTGAGGAATGTTGAAGTTGCGATTTGTGGCGTAACTGATGACTGGGAGCGAGCGCTGTCATGGTTGAAATTCGAGTACCACTGAGAGCATCCATGACGGCGAATGGCAATGATCCTGCCGTGATTATTCCTGAGAGGTTTCGTTGCTATGATACAAGTTCAGCTATTGAGTGACATAATGGTAAGACCACCGTTCTTCGGCCAAGTTGGAGAGAAATGATCTGTTCATTTGAATACAGGATTTGCTGTAGAGCGTCTGCCTTACCTCGCGACTGTGAAACATCCGTAGCCAGGCCATATTGCTCAAGCGCAACCTCATCGAGATCGACTTGAACAGATGGAGGCGGTGACGTGCATTAAATGCTTTGGTAATGTTGACGGAATCCAGAAATCTGCGCCCAAATTCCCTAGCAAGTCCACACGAAGTTGGGAGTGACAGAAGGGATAGGAAAAGTCGATACGTAATCCTTCCTAGACTCATCATCTCTATCGATCATCGGCATTTTAGGAACCATCAAGCGAAAATGGAATTCCTCGCCCCTTTCTACTATGTACGTCTCTGCGTTCAGGTATCTCTCAGATGTGCGGCAAGCGAAAACGACCCAATCTTATGCCTTATTTTAAGAATACAAAATGGACAAATGTGTGTGTTAAATCAATGCGGCCGCAGAGGCTGAGTGAGTCGGCGAATCAGCCGAGGCAATGGCGAGATCTGATGGGCAAAGTGCCACGTACAGCTGCATCGCCGCAGGTGTCCGCCCAAGGTTGAATCCTGATATCCCGCGATGTTCACTTCTATGGCGGTTACGGTCAGCCCCTGCGGACATTCATACCCTGAAAGGAGTTCCCGCGATGCAACTTGCGATCATAGCCTGCATCAACTGGTTTCATTACCTCCATAAAGTACCTCGCATACACCACCAACGGGTATGTCCATCACTGCATCTGTTCCCTCATTCCAGATGTATTTCCATTCCAGCTTTCTTTTCTGGGGACCCATTATTTGTGCTGTGGCAGCATTGGGATTCATCTTCTCAGATCCACCAGGGCGTCTTCTGCCCTTGCTATCAATGACTGCAATATTTGCTACTTCATCCACGATATTTTCGATGCTACTCATCGGCAGTGTAAGATATCCAGTATTATAGGCGGATAATGCAACATAAATATAGATGATTGTCACTATGAGGAAACTTGGGATCGCAAGAGACCACCAGCGATTTGGGTAGTAGTAAATCCCCAGTTGGTGAAGGAAAGGTGAGGGAAGGTATGACCACAAAAGATATATCACTATCAGCAAGGTATATCAGCGATTGCACCAGAGATGGAGATGGGGAAGAAGCATACAGAAAGCGAGTGACGAAGCAAGATAGAGCACAAATCCATAGTACTCATACGTTGGCACCTTAGGGCTTGCACGTGGCACGGTAATTGCAGTACGCGCAGAACGCGCCACAGCGGCTTCCATGTCATTTAGGTTCTCAACATCGGAGCTGTCCGGTGTGGTGGGTCGCGATGTTGTTGTAGAAAATGATGGCCGGAGGAGAGACGTTAATGAGGGCGATGGAGGCAGCGGCGTAGGGGGGCGGTTGTAGAATGGAGGCGCAAATGCATTGGGAAGTGAAGTATTGGACAGGAATGCAGATGGCCCCATCACATTCTCACCGTTGGCTGTCGCGCGCTCGTGTAAGTCCTCGTCGCTAGAGGTAGAAACAGACGATGAGTGTCTCTCTGAGTAGTGCGACTGAAAATCTGCCTCATCTTCCATCTCGCTATCCCCGTCATCGTCACCACCGACATCGTGATCACCGTCATCATCATCATCATCATCGGCCAGGCCTCTAGGTGTAAAATCTTCATCTACATATTCTTTCTCGTGATATCTGTCAGACGAGTCGAAAGGCATTTTCGTGTGTCTGTTGAGCGACCTAACGAGCGGGGTGTGGATTTTTACTCTCAGGCCAGTATGGTATCACGTTCGGGTAAGGGGCCCGCATGAGAGAATTGTTGCGAGTCCCAGGAAGCTTGGATGCCACTCCGTTTTGTCTCCGCTCCTCCGTGGTGTTCCTCCAGTTGGTTTCTTGGAGTGAGTTTGTCAAGATGCGCGAACCAAAACCCCCCTTACACGCATTATGTAAGCCGTCGCATGCGTTAAATATTTAACCCGTTTCAGGAAGCAGAAAACTTGACTATAATGTTAGAGCCGTGCCACTAGTGGATACCAGAGTGGAACTGCAGCTATACAACAGGTTGTGATATTACTGATTCTTGAGTAGGAGAACTAGCTATGGAAGGAGAGCTGAAATTTTCTGATTTTATATATCTGAAATTGATGAATGTATAATAGTTAACTTTACAGATATAGGAAAAGCCCTGAGAACTAAAAGTTCTCAGGTAGATATTATAGTCTCTGACTGTATACATCTATAATTGAAGAATAATAATAACAATAATAATAAGTGATGAAAATGATGATTATTTAATATATAAGTCTTGAGTAATAAGATATTTGTATTACAATTGAGATGTCTCATTTCTTTAAATAAATAGTTGATGAATAGCAGCTGAGTAACAGGTAACTAGCTTAATAGTATATTGGTTTCATTGACAGAACAGTATACAGTGTCTCATAATATCTTAGTAGTATTCTGATGATGGCATCTGCCAATTACACAGTTACTGAGTAGTGTTATGATGATGTTAGAAAGTTCTGCACTGTCTCAACATCATCTTGACATTTAATATTCAGTGATATGTTGCTGAATATAATGATGGAACATGTGTTACAATCAGCGACACATGACACGGGTGGAATGGTGGATCCACGGTGTAATCACCGTAAATTAACCCTTCGTTCTTCCCGTATGGGTATGTATATCTAATAGTAAGTCACGGTGCTTACCGCATCGAAGCAGAGAAGGTTGCTGGCATATACGCTAGGTACCGTACGTAGGTAATGGAGGCATGCATACACACACATGGTGTACACGACATTTTACGTATCTAAGGCTGTCGCAGTTGCATTTCCAGGAGGAGTGGCTTTTATTGAAACTTCTCAGAACTCAAGTTCTTCAATCTCCATTCCACAATCAATACATGTCTTTACCCCTATACCTGTCTCTGGGTTGTCAACTAGTCTCCCCCATTGATGCACATGTTTCCCGCTGCCAAGGTCGTCTCCGAAATCCCCCCCTGATCCTTCTCCTGTGGCCGCCTGGCGGCTTCGTCGGTACGCTTCAACTCGAGTTCGCTTCTTTAGATCATGTAGTTTGGATTTGAACTTGGCTTCTCTCTGCCGTTTCTTTGTAGCCTCTCGTTTCTCAAATTCAGCATCCAGAGCCTCAGGTGATCCCCACTTTTTCGGTGAGAACGCGTACTCCTCGACTTGGAATCGAAGGTAAAGCATCATGTTATTCCATGTTGCTTTATGCGGGTTTGGTTTCTCTAGATGAGGTAGAAGCTCTTCATCTTTTAACTCAGCTGATGAATTGAAAAGAGCGGTGTAAACAATAACTATAGTCAGCGAATATTGTCATCAGAGTGTGAACTGGGAAAAGATCACTCCGATGCTTACGGTCTGTCAGTAGATAATCTTCCTTAGCTTCTGTCTTCGTGAGCAGGCTATATTTCTCAGGGAATTTCTCCTTGCAGGAATTGCAGACGGCGCATTTTAATGTTTCTTCCCACTTCCAGTCAATCTCTACGCTTCCGCACTCTCGACAAGATCTCTGCTCTTTCGTACTCAGTATACTTAGCCCGGGTTCGAAGGGACCTGCCTTGTCCCTGCGTAGGGACTGTAATAATTGATGGCGTTCCCATTCCCTTGACGTCATATGAGCGGGTTTTTCATCCCCCTCACCCGAATTTAACACCTTGTTATGCGGATCATCTTCCGCGGTTAAAAATCCCCCTTTCGTATCTGTCATTTTGCTCATGTCGTATTCCACGTACTTGGCGAAGTTACGAGCTGGACGAATTTCATCGAGTGGCCGGTCATACGATTTATTTGATCGGGCATTACGAGAGCTTATCGGAGGTTTTGAAAGCGAAATGTCTGAATATGGCCGTTTTTGGCCAGCAGTAACGGAACCACTGAACATAGAATTAGATCGCGCTTCAGCATCATGTTGTTCCCGGATCGCCTTAGCTTTCATGCGGTGTATTTCCTATATCATGAGTTAGTAGTCGTGAGGTTCCCCGAGAGCTTCCAACAGACATACAATTCTATGAAGTTGTTCAGGAGTCAAGAGTGTTTGAGTGTTGGAAACGAGAGAGTTTCCTCGCGGTGAGGAAGGGCCTTTGTTCTGGTGAGCTTCCATGATCGTAGCTGCACGTAGCTAGCTGGATTTGGTGAATGTTAACCGGAAATCTATTACTGCTTTTGATGGAGTTATGGCTATAGAATAACACGGAAGGCGGGGAAAAAGCCATAGAGCAAATGCTTTCGTAATTACGTAGTTAACTCCAGACCTAGGTTAACTATACCTTCGTTGACTAAACTAGTTGTGTATTCAGAAAAGTTGACCTCGCTAAGTGCGCCACTTTCTTGGAGGATAACGTTGTTGTGTTGTGTTGTAATCTATCTAACTACGCGAGTTACACTAAATGGATCCATGGATAGGTTGGGGTGGCACGTGACTAGGGTAGGTGTAGTAATCACCAACACCCCTTGCTACTGTTGGGGGTCCCGGTGTATACAGAAAACTTGACCTCGCTAAGTGCGCCACTTGACCTCGTTACATAATCATGACCCCGACGGGCCCGACCTCGCATAATACAGTAATAATCAGTTGGTAATTGACTTTCAACCTTTCAATTCACTCATTCATTCAGCTCATCAATCAATCAAAGCATGTATAGCTGATTCATAATCAATTAAATAAACAGATAAATTTATATAGAATATAAAGAGTAGACTGACCGTGTGACTGTGTCTGAGACCAGAACCAGATTTTTTGATAGTCTTATTACCAATTCAACTGATCCCATTACACAGTTTTAACATTAGATAGTAGTCTCATACTGTTTCAGTGAGACTTACTGTCTACTCTTATCACATTTTTCAAATGAGATCATGATTTTCACTTCTCAATTTAAATTATTTTTATTGCTTTAAATGACTTTAAATCTCATTTGAGTGTTATCAAAAAGTGTTACTTTTTAAAAAATTAAAAATAGTCTAAAAAAAACCTTAAAATGTCTAAAAATAGTAACTTTATATCAAGAATGAGACTAAATGAAACTAAATGAGATCACTTTCTCATTTTTTTCAAGTCATGATTTCATTTTAAGATCTGATATATAGTCACTTTGCATGTTTTTTTGATAGATAGTCTCAGCAGAATTCACACTAAGAAATGTATGAGATCAGATTAAATAAAATCAAATGTGAAATTCATAGTTCTGACAGCCAGTCTAATAAAGAGATATTTTACAGAATTTTAAAATATATCAAGATAAAAATATTTAATAATTAATTTTAAATTGATTTTAAATTAATTCTGAATTGATTCTGAATTAATTATAGTAATAAAAATAGATTTAAATCTATATATTTAAGTAATTAATAATTGATTGAAAATCAGTTGATAATTAATTCAGTATTATTATTAAATTCAAGAATAATTTCAGTATTAAATTGATTTTAAATGAATTTTGAATTGCTTGTAGAATTGATGATAAATAATTAAGTGATTTCAAATTATAAGAAAAGATGTATTAAGTGAGATCAGATAGTAACACAGGTTATATTTATAAGATTAACTTATATAATAAGGTTAAGTAATGCACTTAGTGAAGTCAAGTTTTCTACTTTCTGAGAGTGCTGTGATTAATCAGCTCTTCTATCAGCAGGTACTGATAATAATTAAGCTCTTTTGCCTCAGTAGTCTACAGATTATAAGACTGTTAAGTATGAGTCTTACTGTGATTAACATGCATAAGTTTGATCTCAGAATGAACTTAAAAATTTCTAATAAATATTTTAAACATTTTAACAGTGTTAAGAGATATTTCAAAAGTATATTCTAGAAGTTCTGTGAGCTCTAGAACTGAGTAATTCAGTTCATTATTAAAAAGAAGTCATTGTGAGAAGATCACTGAAGAGAGTCACTGAGAGAAAGTACTGTACTCTGTAATAGCTGATCTGAGAGAAGGTATTGAGAGTCTCACAGTTAATCAGTCCCGCGGTTGATCAGCTCTTCTATCAGCAGATACTGATAATAATTGAGCTCTTTTACCTCAGTAGTCTACAGATTATGAGACTGTTAAGTGTGAGTCTCACTGTGATCAACATGTATGAGTTCAATCTTAGAATGAACTTAAAAATTTCTAATAAATACTCTGAATATTTTAATAGTATTAAGAGATATCTCAGAAGTATACTCTAGAAGTTCTATAAGTTCTAGAACTAAGTGATTCAGTTCATTATTAAAAAGAAGTCATTGTGAGAAAATCACTGAAGAGAGTTACTGAGAAGAAGTACTGTACTCTGTAATAGCTGATCTGAGAAAGAGTGTTGAAAGTCTCATAATTAATTAACTCTTCTATCAGCAGGCACTGATGATAATTGAGCTCTTTTGCCTCAGTAGTCTATACTATTATACACAGACTGATAATCAGATAGAAAGATAAAACTGTGAATTAAAAGTATATCTATGTCTATATATCACTTACTTATAGAATGACTGAGTAGATCTTCTTATCTTAGCTGAATTTACTTACAGTAATTCAGTACATTCTACTTATAATCTCATCTCATTCTTTATAAATCTAGAATATTATCTTATATTTCTCATTATATTTAACTTCTCTCTCTCAGAATCAGATAATACTGCTGCAGAACTTTATACAGTTCTTATCAAAGATACTTAGTAAGAGACTTATAATTATCTTCTTCACTTTCAGAATCTTATACAGTATTATATCTGTGACAAGCTCTGTAAGTTTCAGATAGATAATCTTGTTTTTCTTAATATAAAGAATATAAAAATATATTATTTCAATTATAAGTTAGATTATAAGTTTCTTAAATTCTTCACTGTATATATCTATATCAGTATATAGATATATCAACTGAATCTGTCATCTTTCTATTATATTGTAACATGGCGGAACCGAAGCAGTGACTAGTCAGTAGCATTATGTAGAGATAGTTGTTTAAAAAGCTGTATAAGTAAGCTTGACTATCTTGCTTAAATAATGAGCTTGTAGGCTACAGAGTTATTGCGAGAATATCACAGATATAATACTTAGTATACTAAGAAGATTGTATGAGACATGTAGTAACTCTTGTATATATTTCAGTAGAAGAAAAAAAATGAATCACTGACTTCTTTTATAAGAAGTCAGCATCTAGCTATTCTATATAGATAATGAGTGAATACTCTTCTCTTATTTCATAAGTGAGAATAGTTGAAATAATATCTTAGCAGTATCTTACTATTAAGAAAAAGTAATCTGCTAATCTTATATAGCAGTAAGATTCTTATATTTATTAATTAAATCTTTCTATGATATATCTGAATGATGTTATAGAGTGATTGAAAACTAGTTTAAACAGAATGAAATTATTCATATGAAAGTGATAAGCTATGTGAAACTGTAATGAGATTTTAACATAACTGAGAGTGTGATAATATTCTTCTCTTTAAGAGCATAGTTCTGATGCTCTTAAGATTACTGAATTGAGAGTTATCTTTATTATATAGTAATAATTATCAACTGATTGACAGTGCATGTGCTATGTATAATATAAAGAAATAGATGAGTTTTTCTACTGACTATATAAATCTTTCTTTCTCATCTTCATTCAAATTAAACATGTGATAAGTGAGTTTCTTATATATTAATTTGAAATGTGAAAAACATAGTTAATAAGTAACTTACAGATCTCTCATCATATTCTATTCTATATATAAAATTCTCTGTAAAAGTGATGTATTTTAGAGATAAAGCTAACAGTAGTGATAGAATTTTTTAAAAAGATTCTCTCTTTTTATAAAATATTTTTCTTTCTCTTCTCTCAATTGTAACAGTGAGTATATGAGAGTATTATTCTTGAAGAATAATAAAGAACTTATTCTGATGTTTTCTAGTGAGTAAATGTCTTCATAATGCAGCTGTGATCTCTGTGAGTGTTAAGAAAGCTTAGTTGAAGATGAAGACAGTGACATTGATGAATCACAGAAGTACTGCTCTTATTATCACATCTTCTTATTCTTCTTCTTCTTCTACTTCTCTTACAGCTGTGATAATAGTCACTGTGCTTTGCAGTGAAGTGTTATCTCTTCTATCAGTCAGTTTATCTATATTCAGTTCTTTCTCTGTCTCTCTCACTGCTGTTGTGACACTGCTTTTTCTTTCAATTAACACAGTGATATATGACTCTGAGTGATCATTCAAAGAGAACTCTGAAAAGAGCTTGATTTCAGAGACAGCAGCTCTGAAAAGCTCAATTCATAGTTTCTCTTCTGTAACACACTTGAGCTCTGCTTGAGATGCTGCTGAGTTGAGTCTGTAGAGTTCTGCAGTTTCTTTATCTTCTCTCTGTAAAGAGACTCTGATACAGTCTCTGATCAGTACTGCTACTTATCTGCACTGCATTAAACAGCTGAAGAAGAGAGAGATTTTATACACTCACTTCTTCTCTTACTTCTGTTATTTTCATTATATCTGTAACAATGACTTCTATCTCTCTGTAAGTATTATCTCACAGAAAGACATTGTATCAGCTCTGATAAGAAGTTTAGATACTTAAGTAGTACAGAGTGAGAGTCTCAGAGCTTTAAGCATTAATAAATTCTATCAAGACTGAGAAGGTTTCTCTTACTCATTTATAAAAGAAGATGAAAGTATGAATCTCTAAGATGAAAAAATATCTCAGAATAACTGATCTTAAGAAGAGATTAATCAGTGTTACTGTTGAAAGCACTGTAGAGATTAATTATTAATTAAAGAGAATCTTACTTCAGTTGAAGCAGATAACTGAGATACTTTGTAAGTTAATAAGTTAATACTTTCAGTATCTCTTATACTCTTCTACAGCATACTCTTCTGTGATACTGCAGTACTAACTTCTCAGTAGATAAAGATATCAGTGTCAGAGACTTCAACAGTGAAGAATGAGTTTAATATGAGTGTAATTATTGATGAGTAGACTCTGAGATTTCTTCTTTTTACTTTTTCAGTGAGCTACAGTCTTATTAAAATAGCAGCAGTCTGCAGATTAATAATATCAATCTTTTTTATTAGTTTTAAATATTTCTTTCTTTTCTTATTGTGGTTCGGAAGAACGTACAACCGTCGGATAATAACGCGGCCGCTTCCGAACTACTAGCGTACGAATGTAAAGGAGGCTCTAGCGGCCACTAATTAATTTAGCGTATAAGATTCAATATATAAGAAGCCAGTGTATGCCTATAATCATATGCTGGCTTAAGCAACCTTTGAATCACATCTGATAGCATGTCTAAAAACTGGTGAGAAGTGCAGGCTTCTTCAGAGTGTGATAATTTCATCTATGAAGTGATTTATAGTTATCATATCAGTGTGGTTCTAGA